CACACACACACACACACGGTCATAATTTTTAAAGGACAAATCCAGGGTGTTACATCTTGGGTTTTCGTAGTTTTCTTTTTGAACAGTTACAATAACACTGCTCAGCAAAGTAATGGGAGACCTAGAAACACACCCCGACAACAAGCTGCCTTTGTGAAATACCACTGTGCTGTAACGTTAGCGTGTCACTCCAGTGAGGCAGCGGGGGCACCTGATTTGACTGTTTACATGCGTGCTGAAAAAGCCGGCAGGACAGGAAAAATGCGCGGGCAGGGTGGTAAACACACACTGCGGGGAGCTAGCACGGCTGGCGGTCCAACAACAGCAGTCCACAGGATGAGAATTACAGTGTTTCATCAAACGCTTCTCTCATGATCTTCTGTTGGTGACCTTTCATTTTTAGGACAGGCTACATGTTGCAAACCAAATGTGTGGTATTATCAGTTTTATTTCTCTACATTACCCTTACTTTCCATCGTGTATTGTTTTCATACACAATCACAGGTTTGTGTGTTTCTTTTCCAACTACCTGAGCCTTTGTTTCTCACTATATGTGTTTCTTACTCGGTTAAATGTCCTTCCAGCAATGTTGTCGTGCTCCTAGATTTCAGCAGTTAACCACACGAGTACGGATTTGAAACATTTAACATTTAATATAAAGACCCGACTTGTTGGAAATCAGAACTTTCCTTTATCTCACGCTACGAGCTGCTGTAAGAGCGGAGGATATTTTAGGCTGAAGGTCAAGCCGGTGCACACACAAACATTTGTGAGAGGCCATCAGTAACCATAACAAACCAAAAATGGTCGCAAACAACTGCCAAAGCCCACTGAAACCGCGGCAGCACGGCTCTTGCCAAGTGGCCTCCAGCTTTTCAGGAATCTCCGCCGACAGGGACAGGACAGAGCGCCTGGATCGCTGCTCTTGAGGAAACAAACGGACGAACCTGCGGCTTCACCGACCTCACTGAGCGGCCTACCGTCGTCAGCTTTCAGTTTGCATGCAATTCACGTGGCTCCTTGACGGTTTGACGGCTGCACTTACCTCTGGCCGAGAGCTTTTTCGTGTTAATAATTTTAGCAGCATACTCCTGGCCGGTGGACTTCTTGACGCATCGGCGAACCACTGAGAAGGCACCCCTGGAGCAGAAGAAATCGATAAGCCAAGTGTCAGATCAGTGAAACCACTTCAAACATAACAAAACTCTCTGTGTCAGAGGGGGAAAGTGCATGGCTGCGCTGAACTTGTCACACACTAAGGGCATGCGTTCATCACATGGAGAGGGGAAAGGAAGTCACATACATAATTAACACAGTCTGCATGAGATGTGAGAAGGGGGTCCTGGTCGCTGGTGCTCGACTAGGAGAGGGTTTTGTCATTCTTTTTTTTTTTTTTTTTGCACAGACGCTTCCTTTAAACTCCTGCTCATTGGTAGGTGGAGCAGCTCTATTAGCCACACGCAGAGATTAGATGTTACAAAGTGGCTTTGTAGCCAGGATATACACTGTAACCTAAGTGTCCTCTCGTGTTTTTAATCCGGAATGCAGTAGTAGGGCGAGAAGCGCATAGCCACAACGTGCAAAGCGCCACAGTCTTGTTTGCAGCAAAGCCTTCTTTTTTCTTTTTTTTTCTTCCTTTCTTTCTTTTTTTTTGTGGCTTGACACATACAGTAGCCCCGCAGTCTGCTCACAAATGCACAAAAAAAAACGAGCTGCATGACTGAACAGGCGCTCGAGGATGCCACCGGTTCAACGGGGTCCGCGCGAGCGACTTCTCGGCGCGTGCTACCTGCACATAAATTGACAAACAAGTTGGTCCTACGAGCGGACGTTTCACACCTTTTCTGTTACAAATGGAGCCACGGCGGTGCCCCAACACCTTTGAATACGCATTCGGGGTTAAACTCGAGCCTCCTGTGCCGCCAACATGAGCCCGTTTACAGCTTATTGTTGCTTAGGTGCTTCTCCTACCCTTCCCTGTTTTTTGACAGCCCCTCTCCTGCCTTGTCAACATTGAAGTAAACGCGCACAATGGCAGCAGCAGCGGCAGAGGAGAAAAGCGTGCAAACACACACACACATACACATACACAGAGACTGAATGCAACAAGAGCAGCAGCAGAGGTGGTGACGGTCGCTTACTTTCCGAGTTCCTCATACAGCTGATATTCGTCTGTGAATCTGGTCGAGGTTACAACTGTAGCCATGTTGACTGAAGTGAAGGGGAGAGGGGGGGAAATCGCCTCGCGCTTCAGTGGCCGCCTCGCGCAGGTTTCGGGAGGAGGAGAACTCGTGAAGGCAGAGAGAGGGGGAAGAGAGGCTCGAGCTCAGAGAGAGGAGCAGGGAGTGGGAGGGGGGAGGAGAGAGGGGAGCCTAGCTGTAGTAACAAAGATCCTCTTTTGAGGTGATGAGTCACTGTGTGCGTGTGGTTTTTTTTTATTTTTTTTTTTATAAAACGGAATTGAAATGAAAACTGGTTTGCAACGCGCAATGAATGACCTCGACCGGATGCATGTTTTGTAGTTATGACATTTTCTATTTCATCTTCCATGTTTCTAATGTATTTTACTTACGAGTCAGAAGCAGCTTTATCAGCAAAGTATGAACACATACAAGGAATTTGACTCTGGTTTAAGTTGCTCTCATTGTTACACACAATTTAAAGGAAGATAGAAATAGGATAAACACTATTATGTACATATACTTTTATATATTTAGATATAATTATATAAAACAACAATGACTAACAACATTCAACGTTTAGTGTCTGTAACATTGCTTGTACACATCTTGAAGTTGGTGAAATAATGTAGCAGTGTGTGCAGAGAGTGTATTTGCTTTGTAAAAAGGAAGTGGAAGTGTTGGTCATGACAAAAAGAAAATTCCAAGTCAGTCAGGTTCCTCACTATAAAAACAACACTAACTGATAACTAAGTAGCACAAAACACAAAGTCCAACTGAGGCTCATGAGAATGTCATTACTTTTGTAGGTATTTTGTCATAAATTGATAAATAGAAATCTTGACCTGATGGGGGCGCTAGAGGAAAAGTCAAGGGATCATCAAGGTTATAATATTTCATCCTATGGGGAACATGAATGTCTGAACCACATTTTATGACAATCCATTCAATCGTTGAGATATTTCAGTCTGTGGGGACTGATGGACTGACAGAGGGGCTTATTAGTGAAAACACAGGTGTGGGGGAAATCTGTCTGCAGGGGCTTTAATGTGCTCTTCTTTTCTAAAAGATAAACTACGAATGACCTTATTGACAATATTAATATTGACTATTTGCACTTGTGAGAATGATTCATTTTGGTATTTTCTGAGGTGGATTTAGATTTTTATGTCCAGTGTTTAATCATACATGGGCCTCACCCTCGGTTCAGCAGCCAAGGAAGGTGTCGCTTCACACTGACGCTCATCAGTCTGTTAAAACTTGAATCAGTCTGATACAGTCTGTTTGTAAAATGCACATTACGTTTTATGGGTAGTTATTCCCTCTCTGGGTGGGTGAGTGACCATGCACGGTGAAATCACAAGCAATATCTCCTGCACACTGTTAGGTGACACTCATCTATGTCCCCCTGCTGTGTTGTGTTTAGATGTTTTCTCGAACCAGAAATAAGATCAGAGTGAGACCTCTCACTGCTGTCTCCTCTCTGGCAGTAGTGGTAGAGGTGTGATGTAAGCCACGCGAGATCTTTTGGAGCTACAGATCCAGATTCAGTTTCCCCATCTCTCTCTTCCATCACGATGTATATGCACAGAGGTAAAGCTGACACCAGAACAGCTGATGGGAGCAGCATCCTTCGAAGACCAAGTCGTGTACTGAGATGTGATGCCGCAATATTTTAATATTGGCACAGAGCAATGAGCTGCGTGCCCACTATGTTATGGTTTTCATTTCCTAAACTGGGCTCCCCCAAGAAAGAGGGAATCAGTCAGCACTCAAAATGTAGCACCATGGGGACGATAATGTTTACTACCCTATTCTGTTTCTCCTTACTATAAACCATTTTATAAATCATAACAACAAAAATCTTCTTATGTAACAGGCACCTGCAGTCAATACAAATCTTTTTTTTTTTTTACAAACTCCTGCTATCAAAATAATCCTATATATTTCTTCTTACTTTTTTTTCTTTAGCCTTGCATTTTTTAATAAATAATCCTTTTTAATATGAGCTTTGCCTATTTGCTACTGAATGTTTTGTTGGTAATGATATAATACTGGAAATGTATTCACTGAATTATTCCCTGAATTGTTTAAAGCTATTTAAGACTTCTGACACTTGACGATATCTTTCATTTTTTCCACATCTGAGAAGTACTTCAACGTCTCTTAGATTGATTTTAGGGCATAATTTGAGCTTAAAAATTGTGAAATAACACAATAATATCCTGGCAGGCTCTTTTTTAAAATTAATTTTCCTTTTTTATTTTTTTTACTATTCATCTATAATGTCCAGTCTCTGTAATACCAGACTGTGTTATAGTGTTACCCCTCAGGGCCACTTCCCTGTGACAGTGCACTTGCATAGGCTATCACCTTCACAGCTAAATGCACATGTCTGCCTCTGTCTTTCAACACTGCGTGTACCCATCTGCCTTCATAGTGCTGACAAAGCTTAATTAATACCATGATCATCATCATTATCTCAGTGTTCACAGTGTTTCCACATTTTCTTAACCTTTTCACAATCATAACTGTAATTTGAATTGAATCATGATCGTTGCAGCACCCCCACCAATAAATCAAAAATACCTCAAATAAACACAATAGAGACAAAAATCAGTGTTCTGAATACCTCTTATCATCTAGACCAGCCAGTAAGGATCGGCTTCGATCCGACACGTATGCAGTTTTAGGGATTTAAGCCGGAGCATTATTGTATAAGAGACAGGGAATTATACGTGTTATGTAATGGCCCGCTGCAGTGTAAAGGTTTATCTGAGCTTTCATGAATATCTCATGAAGGGTATTAATATATCCTCTTGGCACCATGTTTAAGTATGTATGTGTTTGTGGGTGATTACAGCTGCACACACTCCAGTAAGGTAATGTGACAAGCTAATGCTGGCAAGAAATAAAACATCATTTTTCGACACTTATATGTTTCTTCTGTGGTTTGATAATGAAAAAGTGTTTAGATCGTAAGATCCATTTCTTATGAGCTTTTTGGTCATATTACATGATCTTCATGAGCAGATAGAGATTCACAGTTTTCATGTAATTAAAGATGTTAAAATATTCATTTCTTCTGAGCATTAAAAGCTGCTTAAAGCTGCTCTGATCCATATTTTTATATTAACAACAGGCTATATAAATGACTATATAAAAGGTGTCACTATTGACAAACCTGTAAATTATAATCATCAACTCTCACCTGTCTCATCAACTTCATGTCTGTTTTAAAAAAAGCTTGAAAATACCAAACTGTAGAATAAATTATCAACTAGCTGATGAACACACAAAGACTTTATTACATATTTTCACCCCTCAGTGGTATCTGCTGGTTTTCTTTTCAGGCTGCATACAGCCCCAACAACTTTCACCAATAAGGTACAGCATCCTGTGCTATTCCTAACAATAGCCTGAGAGGCAAAAACCAGGGAAGAAGAAGGTCACAAAGCATTTGCTGCTGCTTGTTAAAGGACCAATGTGTATAATTTAGTGGCATCTAGTGGTGAAGTTGCAGACTGCAACTATTTGAACACCACTCACATCAATATTTAATGACCTGGGAAAAAGTCTGTGAAGTGTGCAGGAGAAACTACGGTGGCTGCAAAAGTAGCAAAAAATGCAAAAGGGCCTATCTATTACCTGTGCTTGGTTTGACCGTTCTGGGCTACTGTATAAACATGGCTGTTCAACATGGTGGATTAAAGGTGACCTGTGGTGTCTGTAGATCAAAACAGCTCATTCTGGGGCACCCTGATAGCCCACCTGGTCGAGCTGGTACCACATGTACAAATGCTGAGTCCTTGCTGCAGCAGTGATGGGTTTGAATCTGACCTTTGCTATCTGCTATGTAGCTGTTGTGTTCCTGCCATTTCTGCTTGCTTGTCTGTTCAAGTATGTAACTGTGTCACCCTTTCTCAATAAATCACCATTAAAACCTTCCTTCTCAGCATTTTGGTTCTGTTTGCCATAGCCAGCATTACTAAAATATAAGATAAAGACACAACATAAAGGTCAACATGCATTTTCTTAATAACAGAAAAACACTAGGAGATTTGTTTAAAAAATGTTCAGAATAACATTTCATCCCAGAGTGATGCTTCTAGCTCTTTGCTAAATGAAATGGTACAATACTGAGCCTGTTCAGTATGTTTAAATGCCAACACGTGTATCTCCTTTCTGTACGCCTTGCCTCTGAATTGTGGATGTATATCTGGAACAGTGTTTAGAGAGCATTGCTGGCGATTAATGAGTGTTTGCAGTGAGCACAGGAGCTGTGCGACCAGTTTCTGCCATAATTACAGGGAGCCGCTCTGATATGAAAGCCTAATTAGCGAGGGTGCAGAGGTACCGTCGTATTAATTGCTGAATTGCTGTGTTTCCTCAGTGATGTGCTTGTCAGGCGAGTGGGTGGTAACAGTGCTATAGAGCAGCAGTTACCAACCTTTCAGGCTCATGACCCCTAAAAATGAAGCAGTGTTTACTTTCAAATTGTCATCTGCGTTATTGTCACAAGTTGCTCAGTGGTTTAAAGTAAGTACATTTACTTAAGTACTCTTATTTTTTATTTTGTGTACTGGACTCGCGTTACTTTATACTTGTGCTGCACTACATTTCAGAGGGAAATATTGTTTTTTTTCTGTCTCTGGATTTATTTAACTGCTATAGATATTGGTTACTTTGATTTCACAGATAAAACATACGATCAACTACTCTACTCTACTACTCTAGGGCGCCCTTAATTGAGCATCCACCCCGTGTACAGACAGAGTCCTTACCTCCGGCAGCCCAGGTTTGATTGCAGCCCTTTGCTAACTGTCGTGCCCCCTCTTACTACCCACTTCCCTTTCAATATCAATTAAAGTCAATAAAAGTACCAAAAATAATCTAAAAAAACCTATATGATTATTATAAATTAAGGATATTTCATGCCTACACAGGTGTTTTCAGTTATGTTATTGAAGTTCTTAATTGTCCCACAACAAAACAGGAGAGCCCCCTTAACAATACAATAGCTTGAGTGAACAAATGATCTTGTTTGCATAAGATTAAAAAAATAAATCTTTCGCTCTCTTATTCTCTAAATGAAAACATGCTCACAGTGATGATACTGTAACAGTAGTGTTGTGGAACCATAGTGGCCAAAGGGGACTGACTCATTCTGCAAGAATGTTTCAACTTGGCTCACGGCTGCTCTACGTATCTTTGGAGAGTCTCTCCTCCCTTGTGCTGACCAGTGACATCATGAGACTTGTGTGGTTTTGAGGTGTGTGTGTGTGTGTGTGTGTGTGTGTGTGTGTGTGTGTGTGTGTGTGTCTCAGGGAGTGACCACTGTCATTTCCTTGCACAACACCCAGCGGTCAGACCTTCTTATCTGCTGCTGAACTGGACTGACGCAGCTCACTGGGTGTCATTCAGTGAATCTCTTTTTCAAGTTTTAACCTTAAAAGTCTCCTTGGGAACAGTTACACAGTAACAGTACTGTAATGTACAGTAGAGTGAATCTATTACCTTTCTTTCGCAATTATTAAATTGTCACATTGTCCTAGATAAGCATTTAATTGCACACCAGGGCTATTTCAGTGCTTAAAGGGCTGCAATTTACGATGCAAGAGACTGTAGTGAATGTGTCCCCAAATGAGTCGCTGAAAGGGCTGCATTTACTTTCAGTGTGGAACAATTAGCCATATCAGGAACACAGTGTCCAAGTCATACTTAAAACAGTATAAGCCTATTGTGTTTAACTTCACGACTTTGCCAAAGAATCTGAAGTTAGCCTTACCTTCAACTGATTATCTAACAGTGGATATGACAGCTCCCTCCCACGTACTGGATAGCACTGTGTATTCAAGTGTGTGTGTGTGTGTGTGTGTGTGTGTGTGTGTGTGTGTGTGTGTGTGTGTGTGTGACACCTCCTCCGTGATTTATATCATCTGACGGTGCCTTATTTCTGCGGGCCATTGCCGTATACTGGGAATCAGATGTGTGGGCATGTAACGATTGTCTTCTCCAGTTTCTCACATGTATGGGACTCTGAAGGTCTCTGAGCCACATTCCTACTGTTAACCCAAAGCAGTCTCATCAAATCTCATCACTGGAGTCTAGTTTCCATGGTGTGAGGTTTTCTCTGTGTGTGTGTTTGTTGTATGCGCATAGAGGAGGTGAACAAAGTGCCTTCAGCTTCAGTGCTCCTTGGAGCGATATCAGACATGTCATGAACTCTGTGCAGATTCTTTTAGAATATAAAGCCTTTGGTTGCTTGATTTCTCATAAAGATGGAGGTCACAGAAATTGTTTGATTTTCTTCTGGTGTTTGTGAAACAGCTCTTGAATTGCTTTAGGGAAGAAGAAGTCTCTGACTGACAGGATCTATTGGCAGAAATGGAACATAATATGCATACAGTAACTATGTTTTCATTAGTGTATAATCACCCGAAATTGCGTGAAGCGATGCCACTAACTCCTACACACTGGACCTGGACTGTGCAACTCTACGGCTATTCAAAGCTCTTTGCGGACATCTGTGTACCTCTATTTCGTTGTAATTGCACAGACTGCCTGCAAGGTCACTATGCTACAAGGGCACGTCTTGTAGACACCGATCTACTGCGCATGTGTTGAACGAGTCCTCCAAGCAGACTTCAAAAAGCAGTATAAACAGAACTACTATGTGTCCACAGCTGTGTACACATCCATTTGGGAATATATTTAGGCATTCAGGCACAGCAGTGCTGTAAGCTAAATGCTAACAGTAGCATGGTAACATGCTCAGAATGACAATGCAAACATGTTGAGCAAGTTTGTTTACCATGTTTACCATATTATTTAAAGGTCACTTGCCACTAGATCCAGCACCAGCACCTCCAGCAGACCAATACAATGGGCACTGCTAGACTCCATTGACGAAATCCCTAATTTTACCTGATGTAAATGATCAGTAAGCACACTTTAAACGGACTTTCCGTGGTCTTTCCTTTAGTTCTGCAGTTACCTGATCATAAACCAAATTAGTAATTTAATTATAATCCATGCAATAGTTATTGAGATAAATAATTCACTAAGCAACCAAAAACCAGACTGACATTGCCATCCCCAAGAGCCATGCTGGTAGCACAAAAACAAACAGTATTTGTTTTTGTGTCACATACAGTACAACACTATGGATGGCAATGTCAATCGGTCAGTCTGTCAGTCCACCACTTTGGTCCAGAATTAACTACCTCAGCAAATACTGGATGGACTTTCAAAGAAGTTTCTGATGTCATGTTTCTATTTTGTCTACTTCCCACTGTACACGTCGTACCCATTAATAATACTTTTTTACTGTTATCTTGCACCAATGCACTCAGGTACACACATCCTTACAGACACACAGAGAGTCTTTGCTAAACAGTGAAACACAACTTCACAAAGTTCATTCTTGACTACCAGCCCCTCTCTTTTTGGATGGCAACGTGGACAGATTTGTTACAGAGTGTGTCCTGTAACTTGAAAATGATAGATTCAGTTTGTAATAGTCAGTATATCCGATCCGGCTCTTGTGCAAATGTCAAGGACCAAGACACCAAAGCCCAACCTGCTCAGGGGCTCTTGGAACTGCACCACAGAACATACTTATATTATTATAGTATTTATTATTCTTATTATTAGTAGTAGTAGCAGTACTTAAAGCAGTATGTTTAGCAGTAGTTCATTGGTAGTTTCCTTGACATAGGATGCAAATATAAAATAAGAGAAGTTAAAAGGTAAGATGTTTAACTTCATAAAACACAGTTGCACAGTTATTGTCAACAAAACCAATGAAAACACTAAAACCAACAATTGATTGATCTTACAGGTCAGTATTGTCTGTGTAGCCAAACCCTGATATAGCTTATGGTGTCATTATTGTCCAAGATAACTATATATATAGAAAAATACTATTATATTATTCATTTATTACGATTAACATGGGCATCATATTTTTTTTGACAATCCCACCTACATTAATGGGATTTGTTGACAATTACAGTAGCCTTGTTCTTTAAACTTGAAGGTCTTCCAACTTTTACTTCGTCCTTACTATAACTGGTTGGTGTTTTATGTATGCAGTTTGGGTTTTTCAGTAAACAAGACATTTTAATCTGATCTACAAGCACTTCAGTCATGACAGCCCCCTGCAGCCCCTGGGGAGCTCTCGCTTCCCTCCTCCACTCTTTTATGTCACTGTACGCCACAGAGCTCTGAGCCAAACATGGCTAATACTTCCAACTCTGTCTTCCAAATGAGCACAAACAAGTGAGTAAGGTGAGGAGCAAAATAGGAAAGACAATGGGGTGGGGTTGCAGAGGGAATGAGCAAAGAGCTGAGGGATAAATGGGGGGAGGGTGGGTGACAGGGAGGGAGGAGGAGGTGCGTAGGGAAGAAATAGTGAAGAGGGACAGTTTAATATTCATTATCAGGCCACTGGGGACAAATCCACAGCCTTGTTGCTATTGTATGTGGGCTTGCTGCTGACAGTCACCCTCAGAAACACTTGTACATCCACAGACACACTCTGACTAAGACACACACCTAGAGGCTAAAAATCAGCTGCTGCACACAGTACCGAACAATGCTGATGATGTTTACTGTGGTACATGTTGTATGAGACCAAGCGATACCACCTCTAATCCATTCTAGCTACACCTCATCAGACAGCATGAGCCTAAACAGTGGCTTCCTCAGCCCAGAATAGTATTACCTCTATATTGGATTATACTGCATTTTACAATTATGGTCCATTGCCAATGTGCCAACACAGGGTAGTGTACCCTTTATGTAGGCGTGTAGCATATAATGTTATAATGTTATGTTTCCCGAACCTAAGAGTATGCCACTCATTTAACTTTGCAATCTTATAACACTGTTGAACTCACTGTGGACAATAAAGAAAATAATTAAATAAATCAGTAATGCAGCAGACCCTGCTAACAAACTTCAAATTCTTAAATGTTCATGTGACCTGCAGTACACTGACCAAGTGTACCAATTTAACACTTCCTCGATTTTCCCTATAATCAGTACCAAATCACAGTTTATGCCAGGAAACATCTTGGAAATTGTTAAAATAACAAAGCTGTCTTTTTCTGAGTGCCCAACAAGTTTGGTCCATGACTTTCTGCAGAGATTGTATGTAGTCATGAGATGCTAACATAGATTTTTTAGTTGTCATCATTTTATTTAGATCATTTGAATCCTTTTTCCAGCATTTCATAACACAGCAGATGAGTTAAGTAACATTCAAAAGTCCAGAAAAGACTGATAGTATCAGCTATTTTTGTTAATTAGTCATTGCTGCTGGGACATCTTGGGGTGGTCAGAAGTCTTTCAGAATATGCACTACAGTATGAACAAAGTGAATGTGTATAACGCCTAAGAACAAAAAGACAAGGTGACATTTGACAAATACATCCCCCGTGGGTGTCTTTGTGTCATCCTTAAAGGGTCCTCTGGAATGATAAGGAGATGAGACATCGAGAGGTCACTGTCCGTGCCTTTCTTGCTCTTCCCATCTCTTCAGGCCTCATGTCCACATGTATGCACTCTATTCAGTTCATGAATACAGGCATACACACACAATGACACACACGTTGCTCCCTACGCAGTCCAACGCCAGCCCAAAGTCACCCTGCTTCAGTTTGGCCGCAGGACAGTGAGTGAGTCAGCTTGCTCAGCCAGCCGCACAGCCCTGTCTGCTGTGTCTATCAGGCGGCCTGTTTATATGGCGACCTTCAGTATTTGATTGTGGCTCTATCTTGTCTGTTTTAACCTGCCTGCTTGCCTGCTGGTCTGTATTTTTGTTTGTCTCCATCTCTCTTTCCCTTTCACTTCCTCCTGGTTAAGGTCTGAGTATGCTTCAAAGGATTATCGAACAGTGTCTGAAACTCCCTACCTCCACTAATTTCTGATGTTGTAATTGTCTGTGTCCATTAATTTTTGCAACTTTCCAAATACGCCTCAGTGTACTGATGCAGTGAAAGACCTGGTGTTTCACTGAAGGTGTTTTGCCTTGAGCGTGGCTATTCAGAACATTAACATTGCCTTTAGTCTACACTTTGTACAACCTAGTTCGTTTGAAGCATACTAAACCCTTTCCAACTGATGTTGCTAGATAAGACATTTAGGAGAACAGGGTGTTCCTCTGTAGGCGTGACCCTACCTTCTTGAAGAGGGCTTTTAATTTACATACTTTGCAGTGCTTAATCTTCTTCATTTTTTCTTTCCTGACATTTTCCTCTCCACTATCCTTCTCCTGCCCCTCCAGGCCCAGCCAAGGGCTCCACACCCCTCCATGGAGTTCAGGGTCAGCCATAGGATCATCTGGTAGATTTCTAGCCATCACAGCTGTCTGGTTGTACTCTGCCAGCCTGGTAAGCAGATGTTTCACTATCTCTGGACGAGCTTCTGCTAGGTCTGATCTCTCGTAGGGGTCAGAGGTGACGTTAAACAGCCAAACTGATTTCCCCAGCTCATTACGCCGCTTCTCAAGTTTCTGCCATCGTTCTGGACCAACAGGAAGAGCTTGTGGTGGTATCCAATCCCCATCACCCACATTTCCTGTCAGTAGCTTCCAGTCCCCAGCCCTTATTGCTGCCCTTATGGCTGTGTCCCAGATCCCAAAGCCATTGAGTACCAATGCCTTGTCATATGGCTCCCCGGGCTTCCTCGAGACTGGGTCAATGTTGAAAAGGATTTCAGTGCGAGGACAGCTTAGGCCCTCGCTGATGGTCCCCCACACATCATGACCATCTAGGCCACGATGAGACGACAGGGCCCCGGCCAGCCCAAGTAGTGTAGGATACCAGTCAGAAACATGGATCAGTGCTCTGCTGACTACACCCTTCCTCTTCAGGAGGGGACTATGGACAAAGCCCACAGCCCGGATGCCCCCTTCCCAGTAGGTCCCTTTGCCACCTCTCAGGGGCCAATTGCTCCCCCCAGACAATGGCTGACCACCATTATCAGATGAGTAGATCAGTACTGAGTTTTGATAGAGCCCACTAGTCTTCAGTTCCTGGACCACTTGTCCAACCCCTTCATCCAGGCAGCTCAACATGGCTGCATAGTGGCGCCTGAGACGATTGCTCTGGGAATTGTAGTGGTGCAGAAAATGGTCCGGTACCTGCAAGGGTGTATGGGGAGCCTGAAGGGACAGATAGAGGAAGAGTGGTTTATCGGGGTCATGGCTGCTCAGGATCTGCTTCACTCTGGTTGGAAAGAGGGAACATTGGAAGGTTTTTAAAGATTTTTTTTAAGTTTGTCTATCAATCAATCAAAATCTTTGATTTGGTTTATACCTTGATGCTCACCTCTCTATGTAGAGCAGAGTGGAGTAGTTGCCAGTCATCTCCCAGGCAGGTCTGTCTCCGTCATGCAGGTCAAATCCACAAGCTTCAGCCCCATCACAGCTCTGATAAGAGAAGTGATCTCCACTGCCAGTCAACGTGCCCAGGAAACTCTGGAAACCACGTCCTGTTGGTAAGCAACTCGGCCGGCAGAAGCCCAGGTGCCATTTCCCCACCATGTGTGTGGCATATCCAGCTTCAACCAGGCGCTCTGGTAGGGTTGGAATGTCCGAGGGCAGGCAGAGGGGTTGACGTGATCGGATGATTGAATGCTGGAGTCCAGTGTGAATTTGGTAGCTGGTAAGATAGTGTCTTGATAAGATGTATATAATAACACAATCATGGGAAATTTCAGAGTTTTAAGAAACATTTTACCCTTGCATTCTCTGTATTCACTGTTACACATCATCAAGCCAAGATGTTTGGTGATTTTCAAGAATTATAAGCTGCAATTTTAACTTTTTTGTTGTAACCACTTTGAGTGAATCTGCAAAACTCTTTAATCTGCACTGTGTTGGGTCACTGTCTACATTTAGCCAATTATCCATAGGGATAAAAAAAAAAAACCCTTCAGCTTCAAACAACAGAACAGACTCATAAATACAAGGTGCTTTGCCAATAGATTGTAGCTTATCAGTTTTGATATTGCTTTGATGTGAGGCATCTGTATGCTTCTCTAACATCACACACATAAAAAAGTCAGTGAAACATTTCTGCTTTTCATAAATCCAACTGTACTTTTAAGCCTCAAAACAAGATTTTATTCCAATAAATTATTATTCTATCCACAAAAGATATATATTTTTCTATTGATCAGGTAAGTAATAATCTAGTGCTTCATCTTGGCAAAATGGTACTTTTTTTTTAATACCCTTACTTGTACTGGAAGCCCATTACCGAATACACCACAAAAGACAAAAAGCCTATAAAGCCTAAGAATTATTATATCATATGAGAACAGATCCAGTAACTGAATCATTTCCCCATTGTAATAATGACAAAGAAATTACTCACCGCCCTGTCATGAGTTGACTGCGAGAGGGTGAGCAGATAGGCTGGACGTAATAATTTTCAAGTTTGACCCCCTCTGCTGCCAGCTGGTCCAACACAGGAGTGTGGATGTCTGAGCCATGGTAGCCAATGTCTCCGTAACCTTGGTCATCCACCATGATAAAGACAAGGTGTGGGGGCCTCGACCTTTCCACCTCCTCTGTGTGGACACTGTCATCCATAGACTTATGTTCAAAGCAGGCAAGGCCACTGAGCAAGGTCACCCCAATCATCAGGAAAAACACAGGGAGGTTTTCTCCCCTCATCTCTAGCAATGCTCTGTAGCTGTCTACTAAAGTCTGATTTTGTCTATTTTCTGTTCTGCTTACTCTGCAGTCAATAAATCTCAAGCCGGATCGCTTCTGCACAAAAATGGGGAAATCTGTGTGTCCGAGGAGCTCGTCCAAAAGTCTTATCTGTCCATTAAGTATCAGTTGTCGTCTTTTTCTGGGGCTTATTCTTGGTTTTGTGGGATGGGGCTGAGCTGGTGCCAGCTGCTATGGTGGGTGGAGAAAAACTGCTCCCTCTAAGATGGGCAAGAAGGTGGTAAAGAAGTGTGTGCGTGTGAGAGAGGCGTTCGTCTTTGCAGTACCTTGCTACATTCCTCTGTACTTTCAGGCGCCTCATGCAATGGCTGAGAAGACCTGGGCTACTGAAATACACCTACACACAAGCACACACACCAGAGAGACATACGTATACTATACACACAGATATTGTATTCGTGGCAAGAAACACCTAAGTACGAGAAAAACTGCTAGAAAATCGAGATCAGCTCAACTTTTGGTCATAAAGGTACAAACAAACTCTGCATTTATTGCCAACATCACAGAAAGAATCGTTGGGTAAAAACAAAAACTTTAAACGTAAATTATTGCAAACCAAAAAAGTGTTTTTTGGAATGTCAATGTCAGTAGACATTTTAACATGTCAAGGTGTGACAGGTGTAAGGAACATTATTAAATGTTGCAGTGCCCTGCAATAATTACTCGATCATCGTTAATGTTATGCATTTGAATGAATGAATGAAGAAACAAGCATGTTTTGATTCCAACAGGTTAGCAAGATTAATTCAGAAAGCAAAAGAACATGTGACGTACAAAATGGACAGAGTTCAGACAGGGAAGAAGAAAAATCAAGCAAACAAATCAAAACAAAGAGACCTACCAATGCTCTCAATTCCCCCTGTTTCATGATTGATACAAGTATTTGGACCCAAATACAAGACACTGATTGATTTTTTTTATATATATACTTTATTGATCCCCTAAGGGGAAATTGTTCTTTTCACTCTTTTTTGTATTCACACACACACAAGAGAGGCTGAAATGCACACTTCATGCACTTGTGGAGTGATGGGGCCCCATGACCAGGTTTTGGGGTTACTTGCTACCTTTCTCAAGGGCACCTCGGCAGTGCATAGGAGATGAAACTAGCACCTCTCCAGTTACCAGTCCACACTCCATATTTTGTGGTCTGTGGGACTTGAACCGGCAATCCTCCGGTTCCCAAGTCAAGTCCCTACACACTGAGCTACTGCCGCCCCCAATGTGATGACAATGATGAGAGGGTTGTGGAGATGGCTTACTGAAGATGGCTGAGGAAGAGCTCGTAGGTGGCTGGCATGCAGGGGTGAGTTATAATCCTAAAGAATAACAGTTGCAGTTAACTAAGAGTGTGACATAAACTAAGAAATTACTTGGACTACTCACTAAGGCACAAGAAAAGGCTATCAAACTCCCACTGTTGTAGACTGAAAATCTGGCAGTGATTAATAGTCGGAGAACCGGAGTAGATATACTGTTGGGTTGATGAGTTGATTGTAGATAGGTGAATAACAGACAGTAGTATAGGAGACACAGGGGAGGGGCAAACACAAGGAAAAGGCAAGGGTACAGCCATGGCCATGACACCACGTGCGTAAAAGCCTTAGTCAAAGTTTAAACCTTATTTTCATTTGCTTACCAGAAACTAATGAGAAGCATGTTGCTTGTGTACAAAGTAGGTAATGACAGAAAGTGTTTGTGTACCACTACTCTGGATAATCCACAGACCTCACTGTAACTGTTTTCATAGAGGGACTACTTTGATAAAAAGTGATATTCCATTGACTTCCATTGTCTTGGCGCTGCAGAGAAAAGATTTCAAAACATGGACAAATAACAGTTAGAAACCACTAGAGGTAAAGAAAAGGTGAAAATATGCTTTCTTGTCACTTTTTGAAACTGACTATTTACTGTTGATTCATAAATAAAGCAATATGTCTTACTATTACTGGTACCAACATTGTTAACACAATTACTGTCACTAATACTATCATTACTGTTATTATTTCTGACAGACAGAAAAGAATAGCAGTGCTATTAAATTGCAGCTAATATTTCCACTGTGAGTTCCCGTACTGCTTATTTCAAAACATACTGTAAATCCCTGATTAAAGTCAACTCCTGCCATCTTTCTTTTAGTGCTTGACACTGCTCAATTAATAAAGCCACCTGATGACAATTACTGTCGGTGCCGGGGCAGTGAAACCAATCTGACTAGGGAGGAACATCCGGCATTGTGATGAGAATGTGTATCGACCGCTGGGCTCTTAGCCTTAACCTCACTGCCATCTCCTTCCCATAATACTGGGAGGAAATCAATGCCTAAAATACGAGTCCATTTCCTACAGTGTAGAAGCAAACTCATGTTGCCTTTCCCGGTGGGAAAATTCACCGGCTCTTTGTCCACAGTGAGATTCAGGCGTATGCTGGAAAGATTGAAATCTATGGCAGGAGAGGGAAAGATGACAATGAGGTAAGAATGAGACTGACAAAGCGGGTGGGAGCGATACACTGAAGTGGATTAGATAGAAGGAGTGGTGGGAAAATAGATAACTTTAAAAGATAAATTGAGCAATAAGTAAAAAGGACAACAAAAAAATGGATAGGAGTGAGACAGAATAATGTGTGAGACAGAATAATGTGTGAGTGAGAAAAAGAAAGCTTCACTGTCCAAGAGTACACCATAAACAAAGTGGCATAAAAGGAGCAGTCACTCTTGCTGTGTATGTACGTCTGGGTGTAGCCATCAGTTTGCCTCAGGGAAATGCGGGGCGACATGAACTCCGTTTTACCGCTAAGAGGGGGGAGGAGAGGGAGGAGAGGCTGTAAAAATGGAAAGTGACAAATGTCTTCTTGAGGAGTAGAGAGGGCAAGAGATTGTTTTCTTTCCTCAACGGCATTTTAGAAGAGTAACAAAGAGATATTAGTAAAAACTTGTTATAGCTGTTTTTGTATATAGCCTACCATGTTGCCTGCAGAGATGCACTGTAAAGGGCCACAATGATGAACACTTAACTTTTTATGTTTTTAAAGAAGGATTTATGTGATGTCTAAAATAAAATAAATATTTCAAAAGTAATGTAAAAGGGCTCCATTTTTAAATAGAACTTTCTTTTTTTGCTCCAGTTTCAGGGCTGTACTGTACACTGCATTTTCAAGAAATGCCAATCCCTGGAAAATACACTGCAGTAAAGAGGAAATTAGTCAGAGCGAAGGATGCAACCTATAGCCCTGTGTGTATTTGTACAGTGTGGTTGCGTGTGAACGTGTGTCTGCGGGTGTGTTGGTGTTTTTTGGAAAAGTCAGTGGTGCAGAGTAAAAGAGTTGCAGTGGGTGTGATTTATTCATGACGACGAATAAGTGACTCACTCGATCTGGAGCCACTCTGTTAAGTTAGAGTTAAAGTGTGTGTGTGTGCGTGTCAAACTGTGTCTGAGTTCAAGCCGATCATACAACATAAAAATAAAAAGCCCTATTTCTATAATAAAAAGTCCCCGTCTAAGATTTGTTTTGGTATTTCAAATAGTCCACCATATGCACAGATGTAATCATGGATGCGGGTCAGTGCTAGCTAATGGAAAATGACCTCATTGATACTTAAGGATACCTGCCAGGGCTGGCTTCAAATCAATATAAAAGATGCATTTAAAACTGAACCTGTCAACTTTGCATGTTGACTGGTCTAAATGACAGCAACAGTTAAACTAAGAAGTTTTTACCTGCACTATCACAGTATTACCAGGGTGTTGTACTTCAGACCAGCACTGTACTGTCAAAGTACCATCCCATAGTAGTTTAATATAATAGTAGAAAAAGACCATGACTACTGTACATACTACTCTACTATGTTGTATGAACTGTACAAACAGTAGAAATATATCCAGCAAATAAGAAAAGAGTATAGCCATGTTTGTTTTAAAATTTCTGGAAACCATAGTCTGTATGTTGAATTTAAACATTATTTTAGCATTTTAGCATCGGTAGTGTGCAGAAAACAGTGGAAAAATGCATCTTTGAAGATACAACATAGTTCTGGAAAATAGGTTTAAAAAAATAACCATCTGATGTTCTCTCAAAGACAGACAGTGGTAATGTAGTGTTCTGAAGTCGATTGGCTAATATTTAACCTTCGCTGCAGCGTACAGGAATGTGGCTTGTCCAGATAGCATCAGCATCAGGTTTTACTTGCTGACATTGGACTTTTACAACAGCTGAAATGATGCCAACAATTACGTAAAATACAAAGTATTTTTTAATAATAGTTTATAGCTAGCAGTTAGCTAGGAGACAAAACTAGAAATATAAGGAGATTGACTAGTGGAGTAACATATAGCAGGTGGCTAGAAATATATGACTTAGAAATAAATGCTATTGTTGCTCTTTATAATAAAGTAAATATTATGGGTTACTGCTGACAGTTCACCATATCAACTTAAAAAATGACATCATTTTGACCAGATGACGACACTATAGAGGATTCAGAGGTCAGAAGGTCATCAGAGTTATTTCAGAGAAACCTGAACCAAATTCCATGGCCTTTTTGTTGAGATGTTTCACTCAAACCCACACATGCACATGCCAATTTTGTGGTGGCGCTAGAGGAAAAGTCGGGGAATCACCAGAGTCAGTAGGGACCATGATTGTCTGTACAAAATCTTGTGCCAGTCCATCTGGTAGATGTTAAGATTGGTGAAGGATAATTGAACACTTTGAGACACTAGAGGAAAAGTTGGGAGATCACTAAGTTACTATGTCTAGGCACTATTTGCTGTACCACATGGTAATCGAAATCAATACAACAGTTGTTTGACTATTTTAGTAAAACCCCAAAGTGTCAACCTCATGGTGGCACAGAAGAAAAGTCAAGGAATCAACAAAGTCAGTAGGCTTTAACCACTGGGCACCATGAATGTCTGTACAAAATGTATAGTTGCTGAGATATTTCAGTCTGAGCTAATACAGTATATACAGTATGTGTATGTATTTATCTATACATACAGTACATACATATAGCAACAAATATCCATCCATCCATCTATTCATTGACTTGACAAATACTTGCTGTTTGCTACACTAAAAAATATATTTTGTCTATACACTCAGACAATGTAATCTAAGACTGGGTGGTCCAAAGTTACACCTGTGTCTCAGTGAAACTGGCAGACGTGGGCTCTGAGACATAACACAAACACTGTCACTCCCACCTGCCCTGAAGGTGACACAGACAGACACCGTGGCTCGACTGCTCCTGAAATACTCGAGGATCATTTTCCAGCCGGCAGAAACTCAATCCACTCCCTATTCTCCTCACCTTACTCAGTGATGGATTGACAAGATGAGGGTGAGGGGGTGGAGGACTACGCGGTCTCATCACATCAAACAAACCGCCCACATCGAGGATACTGGTGGCCTTATGTCAAATCAACAAACTTTGAGTAAAGTTTTCCTCCTCCTCCTCCTCCTCTTCCTCTTTACAGTACCTCCTTGGCCGGGGCTGTTTCATCCTTTCAGACATTTCCCCTGAGGAGAGTGAGTGCTGGCTTTGACTCATCAAAAATGAAAGGGATTACACAAGCTCAATGTGTGTACAGTATGTGTGTGTGTGTTTGTGTGCACTGTGGCGGCATAGTCAGTGAAGAGTGCCACCTTGAGGATTAAAGGAATAATACATGCAGATTGATAGCAAAGATGATAAAGGAAGGATAATAAAAGGCCCTTCCATCCAAACACTATAGAAGCTGATCATACTAATTAGTATTAGTAGGAAGAATATATAGTAAATTAAGAAGATTGGAATAGAAATTTGCAACACTTGAGGATGGTTTATACAATGTGTGTGGGTTGATGTTAGCTGAGTATCTAAGTTTGCAAGTAGGTGAATTTATTACTTAAAATTACACGTTAATTAATACATTAATTAATTAGTCACACTTTAAAAATCAAAGTTAAAGCTGCCAAATTAGCTAAAATACGTTTTTTTTATTTTTATTAACAGGCTCACTATGGTCTTTTTAGAAAGAGGGTGCAGTGTGTGTGCATACCCCACCCCGGCTAGTTAAGGACAAAAGTATCATACAAAGGATAAAAGAGATGTAGCTTTCACACTAAATATTGCAAGTTCCCTAAAGTTTAATGAGACAACATTTTAACCAGTCAGACAAACATCCATATGAAAATAAGAGCAGACTATAAAACCCATTATCCCAGTCAATTATTTGTATTGTGTGATCTAATTGTAGGTGGAGCTGTGTTTTTTGTTGGTACACACATAGCTTTTCTATATATAAATGTCATGATAACTCTATATTAGCATTGGCCTTACAAGGTTCAGAGTGATTTAAAACAGTAAATGTCAATATTACTATATTGATCATTGAGAACATTAATACACAAATACTGATAAAGGATGATTGTTTACTTACACGATGATTAGTTTCCAGATTCATATAAATGATACAGTATCTAGGAGGAAAGCAGGGAGGACACTCACACACCATAGCAACCAGTTAAGGGAACTATTAGTCTGGTTTTGTCTTTGACCTATCATAGCTTGGTTAGAGTTCAATGTTGCATAACATATTTTTTCCACCATTGTTTTGTGCGAGTTTGCAGGTGTATGTGTGACTCACTGGCAGCAGCACACAGAGGTTATGAGGGGCCACCTGGTGTGATGCTGCCTCTGTGTCATGAAGCAGATGACACAAGACTCATCTCTCCCCGGACAGTGGGAGTCCTGGGAGATGCTGCACAGTCTGTCACAAACTGGGGTCAGGAGTTCAGTGTATGAGGGGGTAACAGGCTGGAGGCACACAACAAGAGAGTCAGTGGGAAGGAAAAATCAAGGGATTGCATTTAGAGACATAACTTTTTGCCAACACACATCTCATACAGTAAAGAAGTGCTTGCCAGACACCAAAAAACTAAACTTATTTAAACATTTTCTGCAAGTGGAAGAGCAATGAAGAGAGTAGATTACAGATGTGACACAGGCCTGAAATGGTGTGATCACAAGCTACACATACATTATTATTTAGTGAATCAGAAGTATAATTACATTGTACACAAAGTCTGACATCTAGACCAAATGTCAGACTTTGTGTACAATGACCAATGATACAACAAGGATGGCACTATCAACTGTATCGTGAGAATGGAATCTGAGTCAGATTAAACAATATTATTAATTCTCAAGAAGAAATCTGGCAAAATATGGACCTTTAAAAATATATTGCAAAATGTCAGAATTATACCTCCTTCAAAAGGACAACTAACCTTTTTAATTTGACATTAAAAGAAAAAGTGATACTCTCCAGGGTCATATGAAATGTGTATTCCCAAAAGGGTATAGTATGGTGTCGAGTACAATATGTTCTCTTTGCTTTAGTAAAATTAAATTTGAAATGTTTTACCTTCACTCTTATAAACTGTTACATTACCACCTTTTCACAGAATCTAAATATTCCTGCTTAAAAGAAACCAGTCTCACATAAATGACACAAATGTTTAATAGTCATCATCTGTACTTTCTACTTTTATTAAACACTTTTCTAAAAGCTCAGCTTACATTGTGTTTTTTAGTATGGCAGTCTCATCTTCACCTCATCCAGGCCCAGGGGGCAGGGCTGGCAGTGGCTAGTTGGTTGTGTCTGCCATGCTGGCATAAATGCCTCAGTAAAAGGCCACTGGGTATGTGCCTGCTGCTACTCAACAAATCTGTCTGTCAAAGTTGTCCTGGGAAGGCAAGATGGCCAACAGAGAGGTCATTAAAAGGAAAAATGAGAGCGAGAGAGAGAAACTGTCTAACACTCTTCACAGTAAAAATGGCTAAAAAGAAGGAGAAAATAAAACACACCATGAAACAGTGACAGCAAAAACCTTTAAAGGAGAGATAGGCAGGCACAAAGTGATTGAAGGGGGACATGAGAGGGGTGAAGCAGTCGTCTCACTTAACAGTTCTCCCATGTCCACAGGAAAAAACACTAAGCTTCCTCCGTTTCCTGTGTTACAGCAACAATCTACAAATCTTTGCTGTACTCCTAGCACCACTGTAATTAATGTTGCTGCCACAGCACAATAGAAAGCATATGGAATCAAAAACATATGGAGCCACAGGGGAAAGTAAAGCATTTCAGCCATGCTGCTGCATTTGGATTTTGACCTTTTTTTTTTTCTTGAAAGACAGCCAACTTCTGTCCTGGGCAAAGTAACTTATCAGACCTCTTACTGACTTGTTGTGGGCCTGCCTACTGAAAGCCTCTGCAATGTAGTGCTTGTTTAGTTTGACAGGGAAACTGTGACAGCATACAGCAGAATTGTATATTCTTAGACTTCTCACTCCTCTAATGGCAGTGTTTGTGTGGAGACTTTTTCATCTGATTGCTCACAAAGTTAAAGGATATTTCAAGTTTCTTATAATAATACTGGGACAGCATTATGGTTTTGTTTTTTAGAGTTTGAAGGATGTAAGAATTTGAACAATAGTGTTAGAAATGTCTGTAAAACACTGTCTGTAGCCTAATATCTAAGTATAGCTAAAACCACAGGTGGAAGAAGTATTCAGATTTTACTTAATAAAAAGTATACATACTGCAGTGTATATATAAAAAAAAACACTCATCAACACTGTTAAAAGTAAAAGTCTTGCATTCAAAATCTTACTTAAGTAAAAATAAAAAGTACTAGAAGTACTCATTAAGCAGAAGGCCCACTGAAGCTGGTTGATGTGGGGCTAATTTGAATTACTTTATATACTGCTAGGTAGCTTAACCTATAGCTATATGATAATTTATTCATTGATTTTTATTTTCTATGAATTATATAAATCTGCAAAGTAACTAGTAACTAAAGCTGTGCTTTAACAGCAGTGTTCTGTTAGCTCTGATATCATCTCCATGAAGAGAGGGTGATATTTTTTCTGAGTGTCTGACCCAGGACTGATCTTGGTTACTATCCTGAGGTCTGGAGACAGCTGCAGGGCAAGGCTGCCAAAGGGAGCAGCTATCATTGGTAACCTCCTGCTGCATTGATAATGGCAGCGTTGCTTTTCTAGCAAGGGGGATCATCCAGCCTCAATCAACAGGTTTAAAGGTCTGTCAATGCCCCAAAGGAAAATACAATGTAGTTGAAGCAAATTTATGTGCTGAGACTCTGTGTGCCATGGAGATTGCATTGTTTATTTGTGTTTTTGTAGTTCTTTAATTAGATTACAATTAGAGCTTTAAGTGTAAGTTGTACATAAGATGGAGGAGGACCAGGAGGGAAGAAGAGAGAGGAGAAAGATGAAAAAAAAAGATAGAACCAAAGTAACAGTGGGTCATGGGCTTCATTATTTAAATGTTTCAAAAAAAGTATGGTCATTTTGTCTGATATGACCACATATGTTGCTTTGTTTCACCTGTGCAGTGGTTATAAAAATGGGTGCAACTAGAATAAGCTACAGAATCAATATCAGCTATATTTAAGAAGAAAAATGCAGGAAAATGTAATGTAAGCTTAAAATTGAGAGTTTAAATGTGCGTATGAAAATTTTCTCAACATTATTTTAAAATCAAAATGCATAAAACTGGCAATGTACCAGTTTGAACCTGACCGAATGTTACTGGAGCTGTAAATCTGAAACGTTTTTTAGCCATGCCAGTAACGTAGCTCTTGGGATGGCAATGTCAGTCTGTCAGTTTGTTGGACACTTCGGTCCAGACTTAAATATCTTAACATCTAGTGTATGAATTCCATCCATGGTGCCACAAGGATGAATTATATTGACTTTGGTGATCCCTTCATTTTTCCATCAGGTCAAAATTTCAATTTTTCCAGTACAAATACCATCATCTGCCTCAGCTGTACTTGCTGCTAAAACTAAAATGGTGAACATAGTAAACATTACACCTGGTCAACATCATTTGCATTATCATTAAGAGCATGCTAGCGTGTTGATGTTAGCATTTAGCACAAAGTACCACTGTGCCTCATACAGCCTCACAGAGTTGAGGGCATAGACCCTTAGTCTTGTTTGTATGAGTGTTACATATCTTTGTTCAGACTCTCCACAGCTGCCACCACATGTAAGAGTTTGGCCGGGGTGTAAGAATGCGGGGTCCGATTGTGACAGATTCCTGAATATAAAGGTAAATATCTGCCGGGATTAAACTATGTCGGCCTACCAGGAGAGATATTATCATGTCTCTGTGATTTTTTATCAACAGAGTCTACACCACAAGAAACCGATTCACAAACAAATGTTAAATCAACAACATTTGTTTTTCTTGTGTCTTTAGGTGGGACATATTTCACTGTAGCTATGCAGGCTGTTGATCCAGAGCTTGCGTAAGTATTTATCCTAAAGGCTCTATGATGACAACCCAGAATGTCTTCAGATTCAGAGCAGCTGGCAGGATACCCATCAGGCTCAGCAGTTATGATCAGCCCAGTCATTGTCTACATCAAGCACTTCTAAACTAAATCGAAGCAAAGTTAAATGTAACTAATCAAGAGATGAATGTCCTATCACGGCAAGTCTCAGCGCTGAGATTTGAGAGTCTGGCTATGACTAAAAGTTACTAATGACCTCAATGCTGTAAAGCCCGATAGGAAACAGTGCCATTTGGATGTTCTGAATGTTAACTTTCCCTTGGTCGGCAGACAAGCAGGCAAAGCAATGGAGGTGGTGGTGGTGTACTATTTTCGGAGAGGCTATCAGCAACCTAGTGACATAGGTCTGAGTGACAGGACAAGTGTTGTGTTGGACCCTCCCCTCACTCATTTGGGGCAGGCATTCCTCAGTGTAAGCAGACACAGACCTCCCCCCCATATTTCTCTCTCCTTCTCCCTCTCTCTCTCCTTTGGCCTCCCTATGATGGTTGGCCCACCCTGGGTATGGGTGGGTGCACAGAAGTGTGTGCGTGCATGTGTGTGTGTTCAGGTGTGGACGTCGGCCTTGGAGCTGGACTCAGAGAGAAGAGAGCGTCTGGACAGTGTGGCAGACAAAGAGCAGGTCAGAGCTCTGTGAGGGGGCCCTGATTGCTGACCATGGGGCCAATGCACTGAGGGCCCCCCAGACAAAATATAAAAACCAAAGAGCGGAAAATAACCAAGAAAAAGAAGAAAAGCAAAAAAAAGACAGAGAAAGCACAACAATGGTTGCAGAGGAAGTGATAATTACATTGTCCGGTGGAGCACCATGGGGCTTTCGTCTCCAGGGAGGTGTGGAACATCAGAAACCACTCCAGGTGGCTAAGGTAAGGCAGGTCACTGAGCAGGTTGGACAGAATCAGTCGTTTTATGGTTTGCTGAGTAAAAGTAGAAAACTGTCAACAGCCTCACTAAAGACAAGTGAAATATCAGCTCAGATGTATTAGGCAGAGATTTAAGAAGCTGTGAACTGAGTTGACATGGAATATTGGCTGTTATGCAAGTTGGTTTGGGGCTTGAATGTGAGTCATCATCTTGTTTGAGAACGGTCTTCATGCAGAAGCACACCGATGATTGATTGGGTGAACTTTAAACTTCAAGTTCAGCTGGGAATGTAGGGCAACCATGTTGCATTTCTTCCACTGAATGCTGCTTCTCTTATTAAACTACGAAGCTCAAAGTTCTAGTGAAATTAGAGTGGTGCTGACCAGAAAATTTGAACTAATCTTCTTTGGTTTCTTGGTTTGTTCTTGACAAAAAACTTGACTTTGTGTTACTGACTCAGTGAAATGTACACACTGCAGATTGCAGATGCAGAAAGATTTTTGGTACGTCATCATTTTACTGTCACTTTGTTTTTAAAGTTTGGATATTACACACCATTCACCCATGACCACAATCATATTTGTGCCAATAAACTAGCATTTTTCCATTACATCATCATTTCAGTAAGAAACTGAACTCACTCCAGCCATGCTTGGTCATGTTGAACTGGCAGGTTACCTGAGATTTATTTGGAATCACTGTTATAAAAGTAAAAACTATACAAATGAGCAATGTATGTCATAAAAATCTGTATTTAGTTTAGTTCTTAAAATGGCTGTAGTTCAGGCCAGACCAAAGCCACATTGTTGTCTGTGATATAAAATAAAATTATATTGCTTTGTGAGAATCTTCTTGTGTACAAAAAAGTCCACTTAAAGAATATATTAATTTTGTATACAAAATATTTAATCTTATAACTCTTATACAAAGCCTCTCAGCTCATTTTACTCCCCTGGAGCATTTGGCAGCAGTAAAGCAGTCCAGATTTGAATCTTGATCTTCATTTGAGAAAGCAAAGATTGGCATGTAAGCCAAGGTGGAATATATACTAGATAAAAGGATTAATTAGGCTTTCAAGCTGAGAAAAAGACACAAAATATTAAGTAAATACTCAGTGTCATCGTGATCTGTGACATATAAGAATCATTAAATTCACAGCCACTGCTCTTCGCTTTACCAACCTTGTCCTTGCTGGTTGGCAGAGACTAGGCCCAGCTTTCTCTTCTATGAAATCTTATCCAGAGAGATCTTATTACTGGATATGATAGTTCAGGTGTTAGTACACCTGCACCTGCATGCACACACGAATACATGTAACACATCACACAAATTCACATATCTACACACATTTTCAATAATTGTTGACTGAGCAGAATGACTTTTCCAGTTGTCTATTTTTGGTTGGGAAGCAGCAGGTCGCGGGGTCAGCCAAGGTGTGTATTTCAGCTCAGTCAAAAATTAACCTCATACACTATTTTTGTACATGCACTACTTAGTATCTAGCTGCTTAGGGAAGAACTTGTGACTTTTTTGCAGGTTGAGATGGAAAGGAAATCCTAATTGCTAAAGGTCTTTTGTACTCCATATTGTTGTGAGGCTGTGAATGAATGACCCGGAGAGCCGCCTCAGTCCTGATTCTCAAATAAATAAGTAGCTCACGTGTTCATTTTTAACTTTCTTCCCACATTGTATGACAATATCATATATATACAGTATATTCTTTTCTACTTCAGTTCAGTGAAATCTTATCATGTCCTGTCCTATTTTGTTCATATATGTCAAACAATCCAATCCAGTTTTAGTATCTTTGAAAACTTTGTCTAGACTAAAACGTCTTGCGGGTTTGTCCACATAAGTTTGCAAGGACTGTCCCTCTGGTTGGTCAATGGGACTGAAAAAGCTTTCAACAGAAAGGTATGTGCAATGAGTCATATACCTTTACGTTTATATAAAAAGACATCGGTAACAGTTCTCATCAGGTAATGTTATGGCTTATCAGAAAAAAAAAACATCAGCTAAGGATCATGAACCTCTAGATTACACCTCTGAGACAATCACCATATTCAGAAAACAATCACTTATTATAAACAGTACTTAAGTCTTCAGTATGTTTGCTTTTTTAAAATGTTAATCCTACATGTAGTTGACTTATGCAGAATGTGGTAGCATGTACACAGAGCCACGGGACACCAAATCACCTTTATGGTTGTGGACGACAGCTGTTTCTGTCCGACTATCCAAAACAGCATGCTCCTTCACCCTTGAGAGCAGGAAGGCGTTATCTTGTCAGGTCTCATACTATACCATCCAGAACAGGTGGAGCAGTTTGATACTTCACTGAAAGAGCCAGTGTATCAGTATCTGTATCAGCCTTTGGGCATATATGTGTGCATCTGTGTGTTTATATAAGTTTATGTGTATTTTTGTATCAGTTCATGTGGTGTGTGCAAGTATGTAAGGGTATTATAATTGTTATGACTTGCAACCACAAGGTGACTGACTGAATGAATAACTGACATCCTTTACCACAAGTAGGCACAGTCCTCTTTGAAAGGCTCAGCTAAATGCGGATGTGGGATTTCATTACAGGCTAACCAGAATAGCTGGAAAGAAAACAAATTAGGTCAACCAAAGCAATGCTTTCTTATCTCTCTTCATTTCATTTAATATCATTCAATATTCATTCAATACAGGACAGTGCCCTCACAGAGAGCAATCAACACTGCAGTCATTGTCCTTGAAAAATCTGCTTTGAATTTATTATGGGATATGTCGACATGGCTTGCATAGATCTGAGGCAATTTAGGGTGGGCATAACGCCATGGTCCTAACAGACCTTGGGCACAAATAGCAAAGCACCAAATGAAGATGGCTGCTGGCTGGCATTTCCCTGTTAAAGTGTGTGCGAGTGCCCCACTCGAGATGCAATATGTGGCATATGTCTGCAGCAAGACTGAGCTGTCAGGACAAAATCTACTTTCTGTCAGTCACCATCACAAACCAAGACAAGACAGCAGCATACCTCTGTCAGGTTTTTTGTCCCTGCAGTTGCAGCTGAACATACAATTCTAAGGGAAATAATAAAATTGCAGGGAATCCAAAACTTGAGACTTGAGTTACATAGCATTTTGATTATGACGGAACAATAGATTATAAATATGACAGCATCAGGCAAGCCTTGCATAGCTGCACACCTTAAATATTGAATCACTAATCTTGTGGATTGTAAGGATTTGATCTTGGCAGGATGAAAAACACTATTAACACAGAACAGAGAAACGTACATATGGCCTCAAAACTCAACCCATGGGGCATCCTGATAGCTTACCTGGTAGAGCTGGCGCCCCATGTACCGAGTCCTTGCAGCAGCGGGCAGCGGCCATGGGTTCGACTTCGATCTCTGGCGTGTCATTCCTTCTCTCTGTCCTCCATTCCTTCTTCACTCTTCAGCCATAACTATCGATTTAAGGCAATAAAAGCTTCAGCCCATCAAAACTCAACATTTGTCCTCAATGTAAGTGAAATTTTGCCTTTTTTGCTTGTGCAGGTGCGTAAACGCAGCAAGGCATGCAGGGCTGGGCTGCGGGAGGCTGATGAGCTTGTGTCCATCAACGAACAGCCATGTGGAACGCTATCCCATGCCCAGGCCATGGACATCATTGACAGCTCCCCTGGGATACTACACATCCGGGTTAAAAGGTCAGAGGAACAAACACCAATCCTCTTACAAGTGATTAACCATTATCAACCCATTGTAATGGATCAAGAAAACAATATATTATGCATATTAAGACTTAAAGAATAAACTCTGACACAAAACATTAATTACAATACGCATGTTTTTGATACCTTATATTATATTCTCCCAAAAAAATGGACTAGCAAATGTTTCTGCTGCTTGTGCTAAGATCCTACTTTAAGAAAAGATGAATTCCAGATTTTGACATTTTGATTATAATATCACATACAAGGGCCTTTATTTTGCCCAATAGATATTTTAAACCATCCACTTGTTTGCAGGGTGCCTGCTGGTTTTCAGTCTGTGGTGCTTGTGACCCGAGCCCCATCTCCCCGTATAGACAAAGAGTACCGGGCTGCTTTACGTGCCATCTCCCCCACCCACCCCCACCATGCACCCGTCCGTGAGGTCCACCGTAACCGCTCCTCCTTGACCAGTGGTTTGACATCTCCCCCTGGTAGTGAGGCTTACTACGGCGAGACTGACAGTGATGCAGACGTGGCAGGCTATGAGAGGCAGCGCCGGCAGAAACGTCGCAGCCCCAGCAACTCCAACCCAGGGAAACCAATAGGACGAGCCTCCCCCGAGGGCGGGGAAACGTCAGAGATGAGTGGCTATGACAGCGCTCCAGATGCACGTGTTTACCCAAGTTTATTGGATGGACGTGGGGGAGATGGAGATGGAGGAGGGGGGCTACCTGGGGTGGCGCGGAGGGAGGTGATTTA